AATGAGGTTTATCCAATGCATGATTATTGCTAATTTGAAAAAGAAAAAAAAAAGAATGGCCTGGGAATTTCCTGGTGGTCCAGGGGTTAGGACTTTCACTGCCAGGGCCCAGATTCAGTGCCTGGTCTGGGAATGAAGATTCTGCAAGCAAGGCAAAAAAAAAAAAAGAAGAATGAGTTTCTGACAAGTGTGAGGGAAGAAAGCCAGGTTGGATGTGTTACCCGAGTCCCTGGCAGGGCAGGGACCGCCTTCCTTTTAGTCACTGATAAATTCACAGGATCAAAAGAGCAAGCCCATCTGGGCCTCCAGGAGTCAGGGAGATCTCAGAGAGGTGGGATGGGTTTTCGGAAGGAGCCCTGAATGAGAGTGAGGTGTAGGTGGCCGGGGCCCACAGGCATATCCGAGACGTGAGAGTCCGAGACTGGCAAGGGGCAGGTGAAGAAGATTCCCAAGGCCAAAGTGGCCACCAGACTGGGGCATGGTGTGATCCAGGTCAACAGGTGCAGGGGGCCGGCCTGAAGTATAGTGTTTCTTGGCCGTCACCCTAGCACACCAGACTCAGCGCTCGCAGGGACTGGTTCTAGGCCATCTGCTTCCAGCCAGCCAGTAAGGGACATGTTCTGCACCCTAAGGTGTATTTCTAATTTGTTTTCCAAACCCAGGTTGGAGCTTCTGGCTGGCCCCTTTGGATTGTGGGTAAGGAGGGTGACCCCTTCCAGGAAGGCAGGTTTCTGTAAATAGGAAACAGAAGCTGTGCTGATGCCTGGCCCCACCCGGTGTCCCAGCATCCCCTTCTCCACCCCAAACCTCCCAGCCTGCCCCAGCCCCGGCCTATAAAATCCCCACACCCTCATTTCCAGTTGACCAGTGGCTTGGAACGGCACCATGCAGCTGAATTTCAGTGGCCTTCGGGCCCTGGTGACAGGAGCAGGAAAAGGTAGGTGTGAGCCGGGCAGGTGGGGGTGTGAGAGGAACTGAGGTTAGAGAGCAAAGTGCGCAGACCCAGAGCCTCTTGTTGGGGCCTGCACGTTCCCTTTGTGCTTGTCACAGCCTGCCCTGCCAGCAAGTGCCCCCCACTCTAGCCACCGAACCAGCCAAAGTGGGCCTGCACTGCTCCCTACCATCCAGCAGGCCCCACTGGGACAGGACACTAGCCTCTCCCTGGTCAATGCAAGAGCCTGAGACGGCGGCCCTCAGACTCAGTCTGGGCAGATGGGGACGCATCTAGCTGCCGGGGTCCAGCCTCGGCAAGATCCAGGGGATACCCTCAGGATGAACGGCATCGGCGAGAGAGAGAGAGAGAGAGAGAGAGAAGACATGTGAGGCCAGCCTTGATAGGGCCAAGTCTGCGAGGGAGAGAGTCTGCAAGGGAGAGAGAGAGAAAGAGAGAGAGAGAGAGAGAGAGAGAAAGAGAATGACCAGACAGGGGTGTTTGCAGGGTCTGGCAGAGTCTGGCAATGCTTTATTTTTTACCATAGCTTTTATACCCTAAGTTAGTACATTTCTATGGGGAAGATAGTTTAACATTACGTCAACTTGTCCTTCACAAAACCAGGGTGTTTTCTGCATACTTCTTTGTTTATGAGGGTCTTGTACATTATCTTCTGGCCTTGGGGCCTATTAACATTTTATGCAAGTCAGGTGAATGTAAACCTATTTTCCGTTTTTATGGTGACCTTAACTGAAAGGTAACAGTCTCATAGAGGAATAGTACAGAGTAGAATTATATCCTTGTTAATACAAAAATTAATCCTTCTGCAAAAGTTGTCAGTTGCGTTTATCTAAGAAGTTTACCCCATACAGACTCTGCGGCTTCAGTGAGGCAGCCTCTGCTTAGCACTCCTGGCTGACAATTAACAACCATCTCATTGTTACCACACTAGGGCTAAGTCCTTATTTCTCTAGATCTTAAACTATATTAACAATGGTTTCTATAACACTACCTTAGCACATTAAAAGCAGAACACAGCAAGCAAAACACAGCAAGCAAATCTCAACCCAAGAACCACCTATAGAATAATTTTTCTTATGTTTTCTAATAGGACTCCTTTACCCCTTAAAAAGGCTCTATGTCTATTAGGGCTTTTATATAATCAGGTTCTTTATGCTATTTTATGATTAGGATATTATAAGAAATCATGCATATTAGTACCAAGGGCATAAATGCATTTGGCTAACAAACTACCAGCAAAGGAGTTTAAAATTAAAACACTCCTTTCACCCTGGATAGTCTCATAAAATACCACCACCTGGGAAACTTACTGATTAAAGTTCTAAATTGATTCTTATTTGGGAAGAGATCGGGGAAGGCCTTCCTGCCTGTTTCAGAGAAATTAGGGAGTAGTCCATTGAGGCAGGCATCAGAAAGACAGATATCATCTTGAAGGTGAGCGCCAAGGGCAGCTTTTCGAAATCCCTGAAAACCTGATCTGCCTTGCCTGTCAGGCTTTCTCCTCGTGACCTTGTCATGGGTGGGATCTCGTGAGCTGGCCTTTTCAAAACCCCTGAAAACCTGATCCGCCTTGCCCGTCAGGTTTTCTCCCTTATGGCCTTGTTAGGAGTAGGGTCTCTTGAGCTGACTTTTTTGAAACCCCTGAAAACCTGATTCGCCTTGCCCGTCAGGTTTTCTCCGTTATGGCCTTTTTAGGGGTAGGGTCTCCTGCGTTGGCTCCTGGCATCTAGCCAAGGCCTCTTCCTTGGGCCCAGCAGGAAGGGGCTGCCCTCTGGGCCTCCCTTGGCTGGATTCTAGTTGTCCAGATACCTGCCTCCCGCCACCTCCTGGCCCAACACCCCTCTGGCCAGCACCCTCTCATCACTCTTTTCTGAGCAGCATATCTGCAGCCCCCCCTCGCAGTCTTGGTCCAGACTTGTTGGGCTATCTTCCTGCCTGGTGAACCCCTTTAGGGATCGGACGGGACACGGTAAAGGCCCTTCATGCCTCAGGAGCCAGAGTGGTGGCTCTGAGCCGCACCAATGCTGACCTGGTCAGCCTCTCCAAGGAGGTAAGGTGTGCAGGCCTAGGGTGACCCAGGGCTGTGACCCTTGGGGATGCCTCATAAGCCTGCCAGGACCACCCCTTGGGTCACCGGCCAATGCCTCTCCACAGTGCCCCGGGATAGAGCCTGTGTGCGTGGACCTGGGTGACTGGGAGGCCACGGAGAAGGCTCTGGGCGGTGTGGGCCCTGTGGACTTGCTGGTGAACAATGCCGCTGTGGCACTGATGAAGCCTTTCTTGGAGACCACCAAGGAGGCCTTTGACAGGTGAGGAGGAGGAAAGGAAGTTGACGGGAACGGGCTGCCCAGGGCAGGGTTCGGGCGTGACCACGCTCTGACTGTGCTGTCTCCCCAGGTCCTTCCACGTGAACCTGCGCGCTGTGTTCCAGGTGTCCCAGGTGGGGCGAGGGGGGCTGTGGCTCAGCACTGACATGACCCAGGCGGGGGTGCGCTGGGCTCAGCCGTCCCCTGTCTTGGCTTCCAGATCGTGGCCCGGGGCATGATCAGCCGTGGAGTGCCTGGCTCCATTGTCAATGTCTCCAGCATGGTGGCCCACGTCACCTTCCCCAACCTAGCTGTCTACAGTGAGTCCCTCTGCCCAGTCTTGAGCCCCTATTCCGGGCAGGAGCAGTTGGGCTCCCAGGCTGGGCTTCATGCAAAGCCTGCTGAAACCTTAAGGATCCTCAGTGCTGCCTTCTCACAGGCTCCACCAAGGGTGCAATGACCACACTGACCAAATTCATGGCCATGGAGCTGGGACCATACAAGGTAGGCATGGGGGCCCTGGGGGTGCCAGGGACCCAGGCCTGAGAAGGCACGCAGGGTAGGGGTCAGGTGGGTGGTAGTGGGCAAGGTTGGGGCCTGGGGATCAGAACGGGTGTAGGGGGCTTCAAGGGGTGAGTGAGAAAGCTCAGTGCGGGCCGCGAGGGCGGGGTTAGTACGCCGTCTGCGGCCGCCCCTCTGACCCCTCCGGCCCCAGATCCGGGTGAACTCCGTGAGTCCAACGGTGGTGCTGACAGCCATGGGCCAAAAAGTCTCGTCTGACCCTGAGTTCTCCCAAAAGCTGAAGGAGCGCCACCCGCTGAGGAAGTTTGCAGGTCAGGGGGGCTTCGCGGAGTGGCGGGCCGGCTGGAGCTGCTGGGCAGTCAGCCCGGCCGAGCCGCGCTGACCCCGCCCCCTACCCGCTGCAGAGGTGGAAGACGTGGTGAACAGCATCCTCTTCCTGCTCAGCGACCGCAGTGCCTCCACCAGCGGGTCGAGTATCCTGGTGGACGCCGGGTACCTGGCCTCCTAGAGCGCCACGCCTCCACGCCCCGCCACCCCGCCCTCAGGCCTTCAGGACCACCAGGCAACACTTCTCCACGCCCTAGACCACGCCCCCGACGCCATCCACGCCCACGCCCAGATAAGGACCTGCGTGCCCCGGCCTACAGTTTGGTCCCACCTCCACGACACAACTTGGCAGCACCCCACCAGCCTGCAACCTCATACCTGCCCCACCCCGCCCTCCCCTGAACCAGACCACATTCCTCCACACCCAATGTGTTGGTGCCAGGAGACCCAGTCCCTCACGCTCCCACCCACTGTGTGGTCCACTGTGCTAGGGTGGATTTGCCTAAATAAATAGAAGCCATTCTCCTGAAACTAGTAGCCTTGCCAGGGCTCTGGATGAGCTTGCCCCAAGGGCAGGGAGGGGAGGATCAGGGACTGAGCCGCACAGGTTAATCTTTGAAGAGGTAGAGAAGGGGCAGATCCAAAGCCAAAGGAATTCCACAGCTGACCACTGACTTTGATCTGAAGGGCTGTGTTTTTCCTTGTCTTTGTTGTCCATGCCCCTGATACACCCAACCTTCTCTGTGCAGAGGGCAGCCTGCACCCAGCTTTCCTTCCCTGTGGTTCTGGATCTGATCTTTAGCCCAGCACCCCCTGCTCTGACTACCTTCGGATGGAGAAGGAAGAGGGTCTGAGGAGCTGTGGGGAGATGCTCTGGGCCATCCCTAGGGAAAATGGGCCTGAGCTCTCAGTCCTGGAGTGAAGGAGGTAGGAGGGTGGTGCTGGACCATTATAGTTTACCTAAGCCTGAGAAACCCAGTTTCGCCTTGGGGCACACCTTCCCCCACAAGACCACCCATGAAGAGGGCAGCCCCAGCTAGTGAAGTGTCCAGAGCTGCTGCTGTGCCTACTGTTCCTGGCCTGACCCCAGACACAAGAGCTCTGCAGCTGGGGCAGCTAGAGGGTCTCCCGGGCCCTGCTGGGATTCAGTTGTGCTTGCCCTGGTCAGCTTCCTACCCATGCCATCTGAGGGTGTGATGAGGGCCTGAGGTGGTCAGTCAGCTGGCCTGGTGCAGTGTACAACCCTGCGAAAGGGGGCAAGAGACAAGGGGCTGGGGTGAGGCCATCCAGAATGGTAGCATCCAGAATGGTTGAGAGAGTAAAGGGCAATTCTGCTCAGCTTCAGGGCTTCCAGAGCAAAGTCTGTGCCAAAACTGATCTGGATTAGTGCAACTGGCCCATTCTGGGAGTTGCTGATGGAGAGGAAAGCCTGGCGTGCTGCAGTCCATGGGATCGCAAAGAGTTGGACGCAACTGAGCAACTGAATTGAACTGGCCCACAGAGGATCACGGGACAAAGAAAGGATTTGGACACCATTCTGGGGGGACAGGAAAAGCCAGTGAAGGGATCTAAGCTGATGTGCCTCTCAGGAAGGACAGGCTGGGGACTGTCCCCCCCACCCCCACTCCTTGCCCCTTGGCTTCTGGTAGGCAGATGGCAGGGTCCAAGGTTAGGAGCAGAAGGCAGGGTTAGGTGGGAGCCCAGAGGGGATGGGCAGTAACACATGACTAGGTCTGGTAGGGAGAACTCACTTGGCGATCCTCCAGGGGCTTCTCAAATCTGTGCCTCCTGCTGCCCCCAGGCCACCTTCTCCGCCAGAGAATCCACCCCTCTGGGCCCAAAGCCCTGCAGAGGCCCTGCAGTCACCAATTCCTTACATAATCCTGGCCAAAGAAGGCCCTCAGGGCAGTTTTGAGACTTTCCCACCATGATCCATAGAACAAAGTGGATTTAAGAGATGGAACCAGTGCACACATGCATGGACACATGTGCACACGAACATCTCTAACTGACCCAAAACTCCAGGAAGCAATGCTTGCCCTTGGGGGCTACTGCTACCCTGATGACCCCAAGCCTAGCCCATCCCAACCTATCCTAGTTTTTGAACTACTAGTGACCTTCTGTGGGTGGGTTGGACGAGTTAGTGTTTCAACACCCTTGCAGCTAAAGTGCACTTTTGTGGTCCTTGGCCTCTATTTCAGGCTTATCAGTTTAGTTCAGTCACACAGTCTTTTCCGACATTTTGTGACCCCATAGACTACAGCACCCTGTCCAGAACCAAATCCCAGAGCTTGCTCAAGCTCATGTCCATCATAGGTGATGCCATCCAACCATTTCATCCTCTGTCGTCCCCTTCTCCTCCTGCCTTCAATCTTTCCCAGCATCAGGGTCTTTTCCCAGGAGTCAGTTCTTCACATCAGTTCTTCTTTGGGGTTATAGGCTTGTCCAAACCCTTTCACTCTAAGCACTACAAGTAAGCTGCTCCCAGGTTTGGGGGAGGGGAGCATGTGATCCTTTTAGCCAAACTTTTCTACTCAGAAACAAATAAAAGGGGTTAGCACTGCATTCTCTTTCACCTTCTTTCCGGTAAAAATTACCGTATCTGGTTTTACTTGTTTATTTTTTTGTAATAACCTACTTGGAAGGGAAAAATGTTGGCGAGGCCCGCTAACCTTATGAGAAGGCAGTTTGATAAACTCTACCCCAGGGTCTGGCGAGGACCCTGTGTGCCTCCCCTCAGCCGCGCCCACTCCTTTCGGCCAATTGCCCCCCGCGGGGAGACCACTATTTGAATATCCCCGCCCGCGGCGGGACACCACCCTGCGATTGGCCGGCCGCGCCCTGCCCCACGCCGTCCTCAAGCCTGGAGCGCAGCTCAAATGCCCGCAGTGTGGCCGCAGCAGTGTGCCAGAGCGGTCCGGACGTCGTGGATCTGAGGCTCCTGGGGCGCTGGGCTCTCGTCACGGGGCCGGGTAAAGGTGGGCCTGGGGAGGTGGCCGGGGGCGGGCAAAGGTGGCGAGGGAAGGGCACCCTCACTGAGCCGCGCTCCTCGCAGGCTCGGGCACGGCCCTGTCAAGGCGCTACACTCGACGGGCGCGCGAGTGGTGGCCGTGAGCCGAACCCAGGCCGACCTGGACAGCCTGGTCCGCGAAATACGAGCCGCCCTGTCCCAGCCCGGGAGGCAGCAGCGGGGAGCTGAGGGCGGCCAAGGAGGGACACACAGGAGCTGGACGCTGGCGCTTACCAAGGACTCTTAGCACCCCCGCACCTCGCCGGACGCGCGGAAGAACGACGACTCCCCCGGGGTTTAGGAGGCAGAAATGGCTGCTTTGCTGGGCCAGAGGCGCTCGGGCGCTGGGAGGAAGTAGACTGGCTGGAGGCGGGGCTAGATCCCTGATCCTGAAGCCCCTAGTTGAGTTGCCCAAAGCACAAGTTAACCCTCCCCCGACAGCACCCTGGGAGCCCCAAGAAGGTGACTGGCTCCCCTGAGACTCCTAACCCGCTATCCCTGTGAGACTGAAAGGTCACGAAAACACAGTCCCTCTCACCTGAATGAGAGGCCCAGCTGTACCCTTTCCAGGGCATGGAGCCTCTAGTAGATGTGCTCCCTTACCACATAATATACACAGTGTCCCGGGGTGGAGACCGTGTGCGTGGACCTGGCTGACTGGGAGGCCACGGAGCAGGCACTGGGAGGTGTTGGCCCTGTGGACCTGCTGGTGAACAATGCAGCTGTGGCGTTTTTGCAGCCCTTCCTGGAGGTCACCAAGGAGGCATATGACATGTAAGGCAGGGTGGGGTGGAGAAACACCGTTGGGGAAGGGCTGTCTCCTGCTTCAGCAGCCTCAGTCCCTGACCAGGGTCTGTCCATCTGCCTCCAGGTCTTTCAATGTGAACCTTCGGGCGGTCATCCAGGTGTCCCAGGTGCGCTGGCTTCAGGGCAGGACTGGGAACTGCTGGGTGATGCCAGCCCTGCCTCATCCTTCTTCTGCTATTTCAGATTGTGGCCCGAGGCCTGATAGCTCGGGGAGCCCCAGGGGTCATCGTGAATGTTTCTAGCCAGGCCTCCCAACGGGGACTGACTGGCCACAGTGTCTACTGTGAGTGAGGCCCGGCTGTGCCCTGCCCCGACTCCCACCACCCCCCCAAAACCCCCCATCTGAGCAGGCAGCTCAGGCTCCACACATGCTGTCCATCCTCACAGGCTCCACCAAGGGTGCCTTGGACATACTGACCAAAGTGATGGCGGTGGAGCTCGGGCCACACAAGGTGAGCCCCAGTGGGATGCCTCCCATGCCCCAGTCCATGTGCTCAGAGAGCCTCAGCCCATCCAGTTGACCCCCTACCTGTGCCAGTGCAGATCCGTGTGAATGCAGTCAACCCCACGGTGGTGATGACACCCATGGGCCAGGCCGCCTGGAGTGACCCTCAGAAGGCCAAGGCCATGCTGGACCGCATCCCCCTTGGCAGGTTTGCTGGTGAGTTGGGCAGGAGCCTGGCTGGGAGTCATGCCAGTGGCCTGCTCAGGTGAGGGGTGGGAGGGAAGGACGAAGGGCAGCTCCTTTCATGAACATCCTGAAACCAACCTCGCCCACAGAGGTGGAGAACGTGGTGGACACCATCCTCTTCCTGCTCAGTGACCGCAGCAGCATGATCACAGGCTCCACTGTGCCGGTGGATGGGGGCTTCCTGGCTACCTAAGCACCCCCCTCCATCCCCACACAGCCCTGTTCCAAGTTGAGCCCACCTTTACCCCCATTCCCCTTCCCCATCTCTTCAGTAAACATGATTCTTCTGTCCAGCCTGCACACTCACACCTAGGCTGCAGTCATGTGGCCGGAAGATGCAAAGCTCAGAGCTGAGCATGGGGACAAGTCCCAGGTAGAGACACCCGTTCAGCTCACCCTGGGCCAGCAGCAGCCTGGCTCTCCTGCCAGATTGTTGGGCCTGGCTAAGTCCCTGGCAGGTATATAGGACTTTCCAGAAGGCCAGCTCCTAAGGAGGGTAGTGAATTTGACCAAGGATGATCTTCGGCCCTGTCCAGAAGCCTCTCGGGTGGAAGTGGTGGTGTTTTCACGTGAATGCTCATTGGTATTCCTTAAAGTCAGTGCGGAAGACAAAAGTGAACTGAGCAGGCTGTGTGCTGGAACTTCACTACTTTGTTCACGATTGAACGACTTCTTTGCCGAATCAGGTGGTGGTTTTCGATTACTGAGAGAATATTCCCGCAGCATTCTGAGTCCTTCACCATGTACTAGGCACAGTCCAGGACAAGATCCAGCTGTAGAATTTGCCAACTTCCATGGNTTTGAGCATTTTTTGCTATTGCCTTTCTTTGGAATTGTAATGAAAACTGACCTTTTCCAGTCCTGTGGCCACTGCTGAGTTTTCCAAATTTGCTGACCTATTAAGTACAGCACTTTCACAGCATCGTCTTTTACGATTTGAAATAGCTCAACTGGAATTCCATCACCTCCACTAGCTTTGTTCGTTGTGATGCTTCCTAAGGCCCACTTGACTTCCCATTTGAGGATATCTGGCTCTAGGTGAGTGATCATGTTGTAGCCATGCGTTCCTGGAAACAAACTCCCTCAGAAGGACAATGCAGGTAGTGGGGTGCAGGTTATTACACCTGCGGGCCCAAAGCAGAGTCTCCTCTTAGCCAAGGACCCTGACCAGTTTTTGTGAAAACCTTACATACCATAAGTGTACTTGCCCAAACCCACCTCCCCAAATTCCCTGAAACTAGTCTGAACAAAGGAAAAGAAAGATACAGTCAAAGAACCTATGATTCATATGCCTTAGGCCAAGGTAGTTAACAGCGGACAATTATCAGTAGGTTTGTGGTCATACCCAAATAAGCATAATAGAATTTATTATTTTATTCAGTTACACAGATAATTAGGGTATTCTTTTAGGTGAGGGAGAGTCTAGGTACGAGCCCTGGCGCTCTTCCTTCCAGGGCCCTGGTTTTCCAGTTGGTATGTCATTTCCATAGACACTGGGCATATAGCTCAAAGTCCACAGTCCAGTGCAAGATGGATTTCTACTTTCTAGATGGGGCCTGTTCTGTCTGTTTCCTCCTTCATTCCCCCCCTTGATGCTCTTAATTCATCGTATGAGCATCATTCATAGGGATATATTGGACCCTAGCTCTCCAACTGCCAGTTTGGGAGAACGACACCAATCTTTGGGTTACAAAGTTCATAATATATTGTAAAAGGAAAGGTCCACAAAGCAGAACTATCAAAGCAACTATAACAATGGTAAATATAGTTTTCCACCAATCCCCCTTCACCTAAGATAGGACCAAAGTCCAGAAAGGAATGTTTTCATTTGACATTGCTTTTACCTGGTTTTTCATGTCATCTAAAGCAGCTGATACATTGCCAGATAAATCAGGAATATATACACAACATTCAACTTTAATTATAGCACAGGTCCCTCTTTGTGCTGAAATTATGGTTAGTCCCAAGATGGTACCAGCAAGTCCTTGTAGCAGCAGTTGATTGTAGAGCTTCATCTCTTCTTCTTTAAGATGACCTTGGTTTCACAGGGATTGGTGGGGTCCTTTTGTGTGGTCCACTTGGCATCCTCTGGGTCTGTGTGGTCTGCTCTCTTCACTCTCGTGTGGTGGATCCAGGGAGTGACACCCGCAACTTTAACTGTCGTAAGGGTGGTTAGAACAACAGTATATGGACCCTTCCAATGTGGGGCCAAGGAGTTGTGTTTCTATTCCTTGACCCACACCTGATCACAGGGCACAAATACGTGAATCTGTTCCCCAAGGGGCAATGGCACCCTTTCTTGTACAAACTTAGTTACCTGATTTATTACCTTACCCAGTTGTTCCATCTGCTGTGAAATCTCATCTCCCTTAACCTGAGGCAGATTTATTGACACCTGCTTTATTATAGGAGGGGGCCTCCCATACACAATTTTGTATGGAGAATAGCCATGGGACCACCCAGGAGCAGTCAGTCTCTATGATCCATTTTGGAGAGTGTCTCTTTAAGTGTCCCGTTGGTTCATTCCACCATCCCAGAACTCTGGGGCCTATATGCAGTGTGTAGTTTCCATTTGACGTTTAAAATTTTGCTTACTTGTTGTATTAAATCAGCTACGAAAGCTAGGCCATTGTCCAATCAAATGCTGGTAGGAAATCCAAATCTGGGAACTATCTCCCTAAGCAGGCACTGGGCTACTTCTGATGCTCTTTCAGTCCGGGTAGGAAAAGCTTCTACCCATCCCGAGAATGTACATGCCATGACCAGCAGGTAGTGTCGGTGAGGTTTCATTTCAATGAAGTCCACTTCCAGGTGTTCAAAGAGCAGTGTGCCTTTTAGCTGAATCCCTGGAAGTTTCCATCTGTGCCAAGAGGCACAGATGTGAGGCACTGACATGTGAGCAGGCAGTGCAGTTCTGAGATTCTGTCCTGCATAGGGAAGAGAGGTGGGGAACCAAGAAATATTTTCAAATTAGTTCTTCCAGTTTATCATGGCCTAGGTGGGTCGCTTGGTGTGTTTGGCTTACCAGAGTGGGTACCAATTCCTCCAGTACCAATAATTTGCCACTTGGCAATTCCCACCATCCCTTTTCAGTCTAGATGGCCCCTTCCGCTTTGGCTAGTTGGTTTTGGACTTCAGTGTATTTTGGAGAGTCCAGCGTTAGGTCAGGCAGCTCCGCCAATACGAGAGTTTTAATAGGGGCTTCACTTGTCACCCCCAAGCCCTCGGCTGCTTGTTTAGTGGTCTTATCTGTCAGTCTGTTTCCCCGTGCCTGGGGGGGTATCCTCTTTTTTATATCCTTGGCAGTGTATGACTGCAACCCCCTTTCTGGTTCCCAGGCAGCATCTAATAGGGTCAGAATTTCTTCCTTATTTTTAATATCTTTTTCTTAGCTGTCAAATATCTTGACAAATATCTTGACAAATCAAATATCTTAGCTGTCAAAAGGCCTCTCTCCTTATACAGAGCCCCGTGTATATATAGTGTGGCAAAAGCATACCTGGAGTCTGTGTAAATGTTTGTCTTCTCACCTTCTGACAGCTGGAGGGCCCGGGTTAGAGAATATAGTTCAGCCCATTGAGCAGACCAGTGTGATGGCAGAGAGCTAGCCTCAGCGATGGTTTCTTCCGTGACTACTGCATATCCCAGCAGCCGTTGTCCTTGTTTCATCAGGCTGGTGCCATTGGTGTACAGGATCAAATCTGGGTCTGGGATTGGCCGGTCTCTCAAGACAGGTCTGCTGGCATAAACCTCTAGTATTTCCTTGTAATCATGTGAGGGCTCACCTTCTCCCACAGGAGGGAGAGTGGCCAGGTTCAGGGCCTGACAAGGCTCAGTAGTAACACGGGGGTTCTCACATAACAGTACCTGGTACTGAGTAATCCAGAATGTCAACAGCCATTTATGGGGGCCCCCTCACAGGAGAGTGTTGACCTCATGCGGGACTTTTACAATCAAATCTTGGCCTAAAGTCAGCTTAGTTGCCTCCTGGACAAGTAAGACAACCGCAGCAACTGTCCGTAAGCATCCCAGCCACCCCGTGGCAACACTGTCCAGCCGCTTCGAGAGATAAGCCACGGGTTTGTCCCGTGTCCCCATAGTCTGGGACAAGACTCCCATAGCCACCTTGTCCTTTTCAGTCACATGAAGAGTAAACGGCTTAGCAAGGTCTGGCAGGCCCAAGGTGAGTGAGTGCTGATGTAATTGTATCAGGTTTGAGTTCTATTACCACTGGGACTTGTTGTTTTGCAAGCCCAGGGCAAAGGGGTTGTCTTCTGCCCAGACCTCAGGGAATTGTTGAGTTAACTCTCTCTCTCTCTCTCTCTCTCTCAACTGTTTAGCCCGTCCAGTTTCCCTTCTGGGAGGTTGAGCAGCCTCCATTCATCTTGAGGGGTTACCGAGAGGGAGAGCAAATAGGTGGTTGAGCCCACTCGAAGAGTGGGTCTTTCTTGGGGGGAAAGGTCACTTGTGCCCCGAATTTAGACAGCAAGTCTCTTCCCAACAAAGGCACTGGGCATTCAGGGATGTATAAAAATTCATGAGTCACTTGGTGTCCCCTCATCTGACATTTTCGGGATAGGCTTGAGACACAAAGGCTGCATTTATCACCATCTGAGACCCAGTGGCCTCTGGAGCTATTATCACATAAACTCTAGAGACCTCGCACAGTCTTTCATAGAACTCAGAGGGTGGTTTGGTTTCCCTTTGAATCACTTTGGAGGGTTCTGCCATAGTCATAGGTTTTCGGGCCCCCCTCACGAGGCCTTGTGAAATACTCGTCCGCTATCTCTCCAGGAGGCCCCTCCCTTCCTCTGTGTCACAGCCCCAGTCGGGCCTCTCATCGGGGCGGCTAGTTCTTCCCACCGCTGAGGGTTTGCAGTGCCCTCAGGAGCCATTTCTCTGAACCATTTTCTGGCCTCAGTTACGATCCTGTGTCTTCCCTCAGCGCTGAAAAGGGAGACTGGTAGTTGGATTATGTCATCCCATGTAGGGTGGTGGGTTCAGAAAGTAGTCTCCATTAGCCTAATCATGACTTGTGGCCCCTCCGAGTGTGGTGAAGCATGTCTCTGCCAGTTTAATACATCCGTAGAGGAAAATGGCTGGTAATAATAGGCTACAGGGCGCTGATGGTAGTGCCCACATGCGTCCTGAACTGGAGGCTATTATAGCTCTCTGAGGGACATCTGTAGTGGGGTTCCTTCCCCCTGCTCTTTGGCAGAGCACAGCCTCTGTCTAATTGCTGTGTTTTCTTCCCCCTTCCCATCAGTACTCACCGGGAGAGGTGGATACAATCTAGGAGGTCCAGCTGAGGTGGAATCCTGGGGGCACTGACCAGAGGCCTCCATCGCTGGGATCAGAGCCTGCCAAAAGGGTGGCTCTACGATCTCTGGGAGAGCTGGCAAAGGAGCAGCAGCTGCTGCAGGAACTTTACCTGGCCCTGGATCGGGCATTAAGGCGGCCTCTGGTCCTAGTGGAGCACTGGGCTTCGGGCGCGTCATTGTCCCATATGAGGGAGGGGGCAGCTCATCCCCGTCCAAATCCTGTAGAACTTCTTTTTTTATCATCAGTCAATTTTTGTGCCATTAATATTTCCCCCTTTCCCTTCTGGATACAGAAACTTGCCCAAGTAGGAGGGTCTTGAGATAATCCTAGCCATGAGTCAATATATAGATATTGATCCAGGTGTCCCGGCTCTCCTATTGTATAGACTGCTTCCACTATTTTTAAGTTCATGGTGTCCTCTGGTGGCCATCCTACTCCCATAGGGGGCCATTCGACCTCACAGAGTAGGTGGAGGCATCATCTTCACCCCATAGTCTCCTCCAAATCCCTTCTTTAAGTTTTTAATCCTGCACTCCAATACAGTTGCCTTAGATTCATTTCTTCCCATGTTGCTTACCTTCTCAGACCATCTTCTACTTTTCCTTTTTGTTCTGTCTACAAAGTTCTTGGTACCATATGTACTTCTGATATTTCCACTCAATGAAACACTTAAATTGCCACTGGGGTTTCCTAATTGAGGTGAGAGGAGCCTTACCTGCCAGATCTTAGAGGGAGAAGGGGGATCAGCGTGTCTTCACCTGCTGATCAGCACTGCCGAACCAGAACACCATGTGGTCCAAAACTGTCTCTCCCTTAATTTTTAAAGTCCATACTGCCTCGGTGGGCTTGATCAGGTGCAGATGAAAACACAGATGGGTTAAATATCCCACATCCCAGGCTGTCTCCAGAAAAGCCAATTCATACTCACTTATGTGTCCCCCTCCTTCTAGCCTGACAATTCCGAGGGGTTCAAGAATTTCACAGCAGATGGGACACCTCCTTGGGGAGGGAAGAATATGAACACACAAAGACCAAATTTCTTCTCCTAACAATCTCCTGGTGATTTCTTGATAATAATTTTCCCCAGGACAGCATGGACACTCCCTCCTAAATGACATTCACAAATTTCCTTCCTAAGCCCTAACACGCTCATCAACCTGCATACCAAGCAATCGCTGCCACCTGCCTGTTCCAGGCTCCTGTGAGTCTATGCCACTTCTAGTCCCTCCCAGGGGGGTGACCAGGCTCCCTCTTCCACCCTGCTGGGTGGGTTCCTCCTCACCTGAGTGCTCAGTTCCCCTGCTGCTGTCCACTACCTGCTAAAGTGAAAGGTCCAGGCGTTGAGAAGCAGAATCCTTCCAGAAGGGCGAGGCGCCTCCCCCCTCTAGAAGATTCAAGCCACAAGGCCTCGGAGTAGTCCCAAATGGGACTTGTCTCCTCAAAGTGAGGAGTTTCCCAGCCAATGCACCAAATATTGTAGCCATGCATTCTGGGAAACAAACTCCCTGAGAAGGGCAATGCAGATAGTGGAGTGCAGGTTACTACACCTGCATGCCCAAGGCAGAGTCTCCTCTTAGCCAAGGACCCCAACTAGTTTTTATGAAAACCTTATACACCCTAAGTGTATGTGCCCAAACCCACCTCCCCAAATTCCCTGAAACTAGTCTGAACAAAGGAAAAGAAAGATACAGTCAAAGTTAACCCAAGATTCATATGCCATAGGCCTAGGTAGTTAACAGTGGACAATTATCAATAGGCCTGTGGTCATACCCCAATAAGCATAATAGAATGTATGATTCTATTCGGTTACACAGATAATTAGGGTATTCTTTTAGGCAAGGGAGAGTCTAGGTAGAGTCTAGGTATGAGCCCTGGGGCTCTTCCTTCCGGGGCCCTGGTTTTCCAGTTGGTATGTTGTTTCCATAGATACTGGGCATATAGCTCAAAGTCCACTGTCGAGTTCAAGATGGAGTCCTGCTTTCAAGATGGGGCCTGTTCTGTCTGTTTCCTCCTTCAATCACACCATCATGATTATCTGGGTCATGAAGATCTTTTTTGTATAGTTCTTCTGTGTATTCTTGCCAGCTTTTCTTAATATCTTCTACTTCTGTTAGGTCCATACCACTTCCGTCCTTTATTGTGCCCATCTTTGCATGAAATATTCCCTTGGTAGAGCTCTAGTCTTTCCCATTCTATTGTTTTTCTCTATTTCTTTGCATTGATCACTGAGGAAGGCTTTCTTATCTCTCCTTGCTATTCTTTGAAACTGTGCATTCACATGGGTATATCTTTCCTTTTCTTGTTTGCCTTTCGCTTCTCTTCCTTTCACAGCTATTTGAAAGGCCTCTTTAGACAACCATTTTGCCTTTTTGCATTTCTTTTTCTTGGGGATGGTCTTGATCCCTGCCTCCTGTACAATGTCAAGAACCTCCAACCACAGTTCTTCAGGCATTCTATCAGACCCAATCCCTTGAATCTGTTTGTCACTTCCACTGTATAATCCTAAGGGATTTGATTTAGGTCATACCTGAATGGTCTAGTAGTTTTACCAAGTTTCTTCAATTTAAGTCTCAATTTGGACCCAGAATGGTGTACAAATCCTTTCTTTGTCCTGTGATCCTCTGGGAGCTAGTTCAGTTTAGTTGCTCAGTCATGTCCAACTTTTTGTGAACCCATGGACTGCAGCACACCAGGCTTCCCTGCCCAGCACCAAATCCCAGAGTTTGCTCAAGCTCATGTCCATCGAATGCCGTCCAACCATTTCATCCTCTGTCGTCCCCTTCTCCTTTCCCAGCATCAGGGTCTTTTCCCAGGAGTCAGTTCTTCTCATCAGTTCTTCTTCAGGTTTATGAAAGTGAAGGTGAAAGTGAAGTCATGTCAGACTCTTTGCGACCCCGTGGATTGTAGCTTACCAGGCTCCTCTGTCCATGGGATTCTCCAGGAAAGACTACTGGAGTGGGTTGCCATTTCCTTCTCCAGGGGATCTTCCCGGGTCTCCCGCATTGGAGGCAGACGCTTGAACCTCTGAGCCACCAGGGAAGCCCTTCAGGTTTGTAGCCTTGTCCAAACCCGTTCACTCTAAGCACTACAAGTGAGCTTCCATGAGCTGCTCCCAGGTCTAGGGGAGGGGAGCATGTGATCCTTTTAGCCAAACTTTTCTTCTCAGAAACAAAAAAAGGGTTAGCATTGCGTTCTCTTTCACCTTCTTTCCGGTAAAAATTACATCTGGTTTTATTTATTTATTTATTTATTTAGTAATAACCTACTTGGCAGGGGAAAAGTGCTGGCGGGGCCCGCTAACCTTATTTCTCGCCGGGTTGAAGGGCCACAGAGAAGGCAGTTTGACAAACTGCCTCAGAGTCTGGCGAGGACCCTGTGTGCCTCTCCTCGGCCGCGCCCACTCCTTGCGGCCAATTACCCCCGCGGGGAGACCACTATTTGAATATCCCCGCCCGTGGCGGGACACCACCCTGCGATTGGCCCGCCGCGCCCCGCCCCGCGCCCCGCCCCGCCCCGCGCCCTTCTGAACCCTGGAGCGCCGCTCAAGGTTCGCAGTACGGCAGCCGGAACATCATGGATTTGAGACTCGCGGGGCGCCGGGCGCTCGTCACGGGGGCGGGCAAAGGTGGGCCTGGGGAGGTAGTCGGGAGCGGGAAAAGGTGGCGAGGGATGGGCAGCCTCACTCCTCCGTGCTCCCCGCAGGCATCGGTCGCAGTATTGTCAAGGCGCTCCACGCGGCGGGCGCGGGAGTGGTGGCCGTGAGCCGAACCCAGGCCGACCTGGACAGCCTGGTCCGCGAAATACGAGCCGCCCTGTCCCAGCCCGGGAGGCAGCAGCGGGGAGCTGAGGGCGGCCAAGGAGGGACACACAGGAGCTGGACGCTGGCGCTTACCAAGGACTCTTAGCACCCCCGCCCCTCGCCGGACGCGCGGAAGAACGATGATTCTTCCCGGACTTAGGAGGAGGCAGAAATGGCTGCTTTGCTGGGCCAGAGGCGCTCGGGCGCTGGGAGGAAGTAGACTGGCTGGAGGCGGGGCTAGATCCCTGATCCTGAAGCCCCTAGTTGAGTTGCCCAAAGGACAAGTTAACCCTCCCCCGACAGCATCCTGGGAGACCCAAAAGGAGACTGGTTCCCCAGGGACTCCTAACCCCCTATCCCTGTGAAACTGAAAGGTCACGAAAACACAGTCCCTCTCACCTGAATGAGAGGCCCAGCTGTACCCTTTCCAGGGCATGGAGCCTCTAGTAGATGTGCTCCCTTACCACATAATATACACAGTGTCCCGGGGTGGAGACCGTGTGCGTGGACCTGGCTGACTGGGAGGCCACGGAGCAGGCACTGGGAGGTGTTGGCCCTGTGGACCTGCTGGTGAACAATGCAGCTGTGGCGTTTTTGCAGCCCTTCCTGGAGGTCACCAAGGAGGCATATGACATGTAAGGCAGGGTGGGGTGGAGAAACACCGTTGGGGAAGGGCTGTCTCCTGCTTCAGCAGCCTCAGTCCCTGACCAGGGTCTGTCCATCTGCCTTCCAGGTCTTTCAATGTGAACCTTCGGGCGGTCATCCAGGTGTCCCAGGTGCGCTGGCTTCAGGGCAGGACTGGGAACTGCTGGGTGATGCCAGCCCTGCCTCATCCTTCTTCTGCGATTTCAGATTGTGGCCCGAGGCCTGATAGCTCGGGGAGCCCCAGGGGTCATCGTGAATGTTTCTAGCCAGGCCTCCCAACGGGGACTGACTGGCCACAGTGTCTACTGTGAGTGAGGCCCGGCTGTGCCCTGCCCCGACTCCCACCACCCCCCCAAAACCCCCCATCTGAGCAGGCAGCTCAGGCTCCACACATGCTGTCCATCCTCACAGGCTCCACCAAGGGTGCCTTGGACATACTGACCAAAGTGATGGCGGTGGAGCTCGGGCCACACAAGGTGAGCCCCAGTGGGATGCCTCCCATGCCCCAGTCCATGTGCTCAGAGAGCCTCAGCCCATCCAGTTGACCCCCTACCTGTGCCAGTGCAGATCCGTGTGAATGCAGTCAACCCCACGGTGGTGATGACACCCATGGGCCAGGCCGCCTGGAGTGACCCTCAGAAGGCCAAGGCCATGCTGGACCGCATCCCCCTTGGCAGGTTTGCTGGTGAGTTGGGCAGGAGCCTGGCTGGGAGTCATGCCAGTGGCCTGCTCAGGTGAGGGGTGGGAGGGAAGGACGAAGGGCAGCTCCTTTCATGAACATCCTGAAACCAACCTCGCCCACAGAGGTGGAGAACGTGGTGGACACCATCCTCTTCCTGCTCAGTGACCGCAGCAGCATGATCACAGGCTCCACTGTGCCGGTGGATGGGGGCTTCCTGGCTACCTAAGCACCCCCCTCCATCCCCACACAGCCCTGTTCCAAGTTGAACCCACCTTTACCCCCATTCCCCTTCCCCATCTCTTCAGTAAACATGATTCTTCTGTCCAGCCTGCACACTCACACCTAGGCTGCAGTCATGTGGCCGGAAGATGCAAAGCTCAGAGCTGAGCATGGGGACAAGTCCCAGGTAGAGACACCCGTTCAGCTCACCCTGGGCCAGCAGCAGCCTGGCTCTCCTGCCAGATTGTTGGGCCTGGCTAAGTCCCTGGCAGGTATATAGGACTTTCCAGAAGGCCAGCTCCTAAGGAGGGTAGTGAATTTGACCAAGGATGATCTTCGGCCCTGTCCAGAAGCCTCTCGGGTGGAAGTGGTGGTGTTTTCACGTGAATGCTCATNGTGGTGGTGTTTTCATGTGAATGCTCATTGGTATTCCTTAAGTCAGTGCGGAAGACAAAAGTGAACTGAGCAGGCTGTGTGCTGGAACTTCACTACTTTGTTCACGATTGAACGACTTCTTTGCCGAATCAGGTGGTGGTTTTCGATTACTGAGAGAATATTCCCGCAGCATTCTGAGTCCTTCACCATGTACTAGGCACAGTCCAGGACAAGATCCAGCTGTAGAATTTGCCAACTTCCATGGTGACATATTCCCTCCTGTTTGATGTCCTTGAGGTGGAGCTGGCACAGAGGTCTGTCCTCCACTTTTCCATGCTGTCCTCACCACACAGATACAAAAGGCTTACACCCCAAAGCACAGATAATAGTACATGTACGAAAATATTTAGGAAGTGATGGGTTTTGAGTATTTTGTTAATTTCATTTTTAAATACAACTGATTTCAAGCTTATGTAATTCTTAACAGTGGTTACTTAAAAACTGGCTAGCAGAATTCCTGAAATCCAGCAGTCCACCCTCTGCACACCACTGCGGAGGAGCTGAGTGTCACTTAGCTTCATGTCACGTATCTGCCCAGAGTGGTGCCTTGCAGGCCCCAGGGGTGATGTCCTGGTGACAGGCCAGGCCCACCCCTCACCTCCTGCCATGTCTGCCCAGCAAAGCCAAACTGTTGACCCGTCTGCCACCCTTCCTGTCCTGTCCACACCTCCAGGGTTGTGGGACACCCTTGTCCTTTAGAGCGTCTTTGTGAACACTCAGTTGAGTGGCCCCTGGCCTTGGCCTGGGCTCCACAGGGCCCCCTAGGGCCTGACTGCAGACTGTCCTGCGCCACCCCTGGGAGCTGCTGAGGGGTGCTGTGCCCTCCCAGAGGCCTGAGGTCAGCACAGGACGGGCTTGCTTTATGCAGAAGGGGCCAAGCACACTGGCTCCCACCCCCTCCCACAATCACTCCCACTCCATAGGGTCCCTCCTCTGGAGGCAGAGGACTCAACTGGCCTTGTGCTGGGGGCCGGGGAGTGTCAAGCTCACTGCTCTGTACTCTTGGCTGGCAGGGGTTGGGGGCCTAGCACCCCCATGGTGGAGGAGTCAGCAGGGAGAGACCCGGGCAGGGAGTGAGACAAGAACAGAGATGATGAAGAAGGTTTATTGTATAAAATAAGAAGGGGCTGCCCCATCCTGGGGCACAAGGACAGAACCCACCCCCCCAAACTCCCCCATCAGGGAAGCCCATCCTGGGGCTGCCCCGGACCCGCCCCTACAGCCCGAGGGAGACCCTGCTCCCTTCCGGCCTCCCGTGGGGGCCAGGGGAGGCTGGAGCTGCGCCCCTACGAAGACGAGGCAGAGCAGACAGGACCCCCATGGCCCCCGCAGCACCCCGGGAGCAGCAGCCTCATCCCCATGCTTCTTCCCCCTCCCCACCCCCACCACTCCCCCACAGCGGACTCAAGGACACATCTCAACACAACAGGTACAGGCAGGGAGGGGGCTGCTCTTCTGGAAGTGGGGGCTCTAGAAGACAGTGCACTTCTTCCCTGGCTTTTTCACAGGGGGCGGGCAGAGCACAGCCCGAATGGCCTCATCGAACACTGTCTTCAGGCCCCGCTGGGTCAGGGCTGAGCATTCCAGGTACTTGACAGAGCCTGGGATCAGCCAAGAAAGGGGGTGGTGAGGAGAGGTATCGAGGGTTGGGGGGAGCACAGGCTAATGCTGTGGCTCGCAGAGCATACTCTCCTCCCTGCACTAGCAGGCCTGGACGAGCCCACTCACCGATCTCTCGGGCCATGGCCAGGCCCTGGGGGTAGGTGATGGGCGCTAGCTTCTTATCCCGCAGTCGCTCGATGGTGTCCTTATCGTCACGAAGGTCCAGCTTGGTTCCCACCAAGAGAATGGGCGTGTGCGGGCAATGGTGCCGAACCTCTGGGTACCACTGTGGGAATGGAGGCTCTGATCCCTCCCTACCCCTTGGGGGCCTTGCCCTCAGCCTGGCCCAGAGCAGGCCACAGCTCTCAAGGGCCCCTTCCTTGCCTAGACCCACACTTAGCCCTTCTTGCTTCTCAGGGCAACCAGTAGGTCTGGTAAAGCAATGACCAAGAACAAAAATATGTTGCCAAGAAGCTTCCAAGCTCATCAGGGCCTCACAATCAGGGCTCTCCTTTCTCTAAAAGCTGCACTCACCACCCCTACCCCAAGTAGAATAGGCATCTCTTCTGCCTCCAAAGGACAATTTGCCTCTGTCAAGCCTTCAACCAAGAAGGCCTTGTAAGGACAAGTTCTCTGGGCAGTCTCCGCCCCTCCCAGGAAGACCAACCGGGCTTCCAGCCCTGCCCTACCTTGGCTCGAACATTCTCAAAGGAGGCTGGGCTCACCAGGGAGAAGCAGATCAGGAAGACGTCCTTGGGAGGAAGGGGAGGAAGGAGAGGACCATGTGGGAAGTGTCAAAAGGCTCTGAATGGCCTCAGATCTCAACACACACACGCACCAGGCCCTTGGGGCCTCTACCCAAGCAACCCAGCCCCTGCAGGCACCCCTGTGGTCCCCTACAGTTTGGGGGTAGGAGAGTGGCCGCAGGCGGTCGTAGTCCTCCTGCCCGGCGGTGTCCCACAGCCCCAGGTTGACGGGCTTCCCATCCACCATCACATTCGCAGAATAGTTGTCGAAACTGCAGAAACAGAGAGATCCGCCAGTGTTTGGGTTCTCAGTCCTGCACAGACCTGGAGCTCTGTCAGCACCTTGCTCCACCCCAGGAACCCAGACCAGGGCCACCTGGGCCCCACCTTGAAGCCCAGGGGAGCGTCGCGCACAGGCGCCCACACCCTCTGCTCCCCACCGCTGGACCTGCCCGCCTGCTCACACTGTGGGGATGTACTCTCCGGGGAAGGCGTTGGTTGTGTAGCTGATCAGCAAGCAGGTCTTCCCCACGGCGCTGTGGAGAGAAGGCGAGCCCACGATGCCCCCAGGCCCATCTCTGCCCTCCGCTCAGCAAGGGCGGCCCACTCCCACGGTCCCAGGGTGGGGACAGGGGTGCTCGCCCAGCAGATCCGCAGTGAACGAGGGACAGAGGAGGGGCACCAGGGCAGGTGGGCTTCGGAGACAGAGTGGTGGGTGCAGGCTGCGGCAAGCCGCCTCAGCGCCCCAGGCAGGTGTTGGGAGGGTGGCACCCGCTGAGGGTTCAGCCCAGGTGAGAGCCCTGGCCCCACCCACCCGGAGGCCGGGCGGGGCCGCGGGCAGCTGGCAGCATCAGGTGGGCCTGGGCTGGAGGCCTGCGCCCGGCGAATAGCCAGGACCCCGCCCCACCACGTCCTCCTGCCCCTGCCCGGTCCTCGGACGCCCACAGGCCGGTCGGGAGCGCATCCGGGCCGCCGCGCCTTGACCCCGAGCCAGGATCCCTGGTCTGTGCGCGCGAGAGGGGCGGGACACAACCCCTCAGCTAGTCTAAGCCCGGGCAGGCCCTCCCCGGTTCCCTGTGACCCACTTCATGGGGTGAGGGCAGCGCAGGCAAGCGGCCGGAGACAGCCGAGCGCTGACGAGCGCCGGGCGCGGAGACAGCCGAGCGCCGGCGGGGGGCGCGGACCAGCCCCGAACCCGGGCCGACGCGCTTTCCAGAGAAATCTGGCGAGGGGCGGGACACAACCCCTCAGCTAGTCTAAGCCCGGGCAGGCCCTCCCCGGTTCCCTGTGACCCACTTCATGGGGTGAGGGCAGCGCAGGCAGGCGGCTCCCACCCACCTGGACAGGTTGTGGTCGGTAGGCACAGGGTTTCTTCGAGACAGAGCACCCCCAAGGCCCACCTACCCTCCAACCAAAAGGCAGCTGGTGAAAACTTGGGTGTTTGCTGTCAATCACCAGAGACCCTCAAGGCCGGCAGCCCTCTGCACCCCCACCCCCACCCCTCCGCTGCAGTAGCCAGACCATCCCCACCTGATAGCAGTTAGAAGGGGTGACCCAGCCACACCTGGAGGGCCGGCCTTTCCTGCAGGGCCCGGGTTTGGGAGCACAGACTGATGTGGGAGAAAGGCACTGGTACCAAAATGTATCACAAAGTGCAAACTTCTGTATTTCAAAATACCCTGGGGTGAGCAAACTGCAGAGCTCCTGGTTGTAAAAGGTGACTGCACCACGGTGGGTGGGGCCGGGAGAGCTCACGCACTGCTCCTACCTTCTTGGGTCTGTGTTCGCAGGCATGTCACTCCCTGCAATGGGGATGACGGAGTGGGGAGGGCCCTCTTCGCCAGCCAGGTTCTGGACCGCCCCCACCACCCAGTCAGGGACCCTGATTGTAAGCTGCGGCTGTCTTGCTCTCAGATCCTGCCCAGCACTGATTTTCCACGTTACTGGCTGTAGACTCTGTGCAAAGAGCCCAGACCTGCCAGTGGCCTGTTCCTGGTGAAGAAGGGAGGGGCAGGTGTCAGACACACGTCCAACAGATGCCACCTTCCTGCCGCTCTCAGACTTTCCCTGCCCCCTCACTTTTGGGGGCTCAAGGTCCTCAGGGGGGACCCCTGCACATAAGCCAGGACAGCATTTTGCAGGAAGCTGGCCCTTTGGGCCTCCTCATCCCGAATCCGGGCGATCTCAGCTTCTTTAAGGCGAAGCTTCTCTCGGAGAGAAGCATTCTCACTCTCCCTGTCCAGCAGCGCCTCCCGGTGGTCACTCGCGATCACTGCAGGAGGGGAAGTTCAGTGAGGAAGGGGGTCCGCTCCCGCCAGTTAGGAGGTCCACAGGGGGCTGGCGGGATGGGGTTTGCTCAGGGTCCCCTGGGCGTACACACACCCAGTCTCCCCTACCAGCACCTCCCGGAGCGAAGACCTGGGCCAAGCTCAGCTTTCCCAGCCCGCCTCCTCCTTCTGTGGGATGGCCTAGTAAGGCCCTGCAGAAATGCCACGGTGTGGAGGGGCCTGGGGCTCAGCTCGCCTTTCAGCTGGCGTTCCAGGGCCGCGGCCTTCTCCTTCAGTGCTTCCTGGGCCGTCAGCTCGGCCTGCAGGCGGCCATTCTGT